GTGTAAACTTCACACTGGAAGTCGCCTAACCAAAATGGTGGATCGCTCAATTGGCACAACCTCGCTCAAAGTGGCAGTGCTCACAATTTAATTTAGTGGAATCAGGTTGGCGAACTTGAAGTGAAATAGAAACTCGCCAAATAAGAAGGGTGAACAGGATGACCATCAGTGAAGGTGACAATACTTGGATGAAAACTGAAGGCTTAAAGGGTGAACGAAGGTGGTAATCGGTGATCTTTTGAATGTGAAATACATACTAAAATGAGATCGTCAATTGAGGTTCAAACACCTGAAGCCTGAATGAAAGATGAGCTAAAGAACAAAAGGTGATTCGCCAATCATGTTTAGTGAGCCCAACACCGTCGTCGAGTTGGTTACGCAATGAATTTTGGGAAACTATAATAGCCCAAAGGAGAGAAAAAAAAGTGTCGAGTGTAGAGTTTCTAGAGTGGAGTTTAGAGTTCTGAGTAGTGAATTTTTGAGAGCCTTTGTATGAGATATTTCACCTTGTGAAGAACATCTTTAGTTTTGGGGTTTTAAATTTTACTTTTGCATTTAAAAATGGGAAGTTGAAATCAAAAGAGGTGTTGATTATAATTGCTTAATTTTATCACATCCATGGTTGCTAGTATGATAGGTATAATTTCTTTACTATTTGTGATGGGTGGCTAAAACTCGGGTGCAGTTATGGGTTAAGTGTTGATTTAATGTAGTGTGTATTGTGTTTTGCTTTGTTTTATTGCTTATCATCCATGGATTTAGGCTAATTATCATGAGGTTAACCTATGTGTTAATGTTGCAAACTTAATCCTATTTTCAATCTCTGATTGATGCTCGAAAGAGATCGACTACAATGTGTAATTAGTTTGATACATGCAATTTAGGTTTGATGTCTATAATTTGCCTGAATGAGGAATTATGGTTCAGATCTATTTGTCCTAAATTTGCTCAAAAGAGAGATATCGTAAGGTAATGTGTTGTTTAGTTATGCACATAGATGGGACCGAGAGGAGATTCTATGAACTGATGTTTGAGATTGAAAGAAGATTAGTATCATTGTAGATGGCCCAGCCTATCCATGAATGTTTAGCACTAGTGAGCAACAAAATTACCCCTAAGTGGCATCCATTTTCAATCCCCCGCACCCCTATATTGCTTGTTAATTACTTGAATTTCTGAAACTTTAGTTTAATTGTTACATTTGATACTACAAACACTTTTAGTAAATTTGGTGGAATCATCCACTCATTTGTCCAAACCTACTACAATGAACAAGTCTGCATTCTTGATTTCTTAGTTGAATTCTGATAATTATACTATTCCTTGTGGGATTTGACCCCGACTCTTAGTTGGGTATGTTTATGACAACGATCGCTTACTCTTTGAATTTATTTTTAGAGTAGTTTGAGCGTAATCACTATGCGCTATTAGCAAATGGTTCAGCAGGGTTGACTCAGGCCTATGTTTTGACATTAGGTGCCAGTTGCACCCCTTGAGTTTGGGGCGTGACAGAATATAAATTAAGACCACACACTTTGAGAAATACTGTGTAATAATCTGATGTGTTTTTTTAAAGGAATGAATTTGCTCTCTTACCATGTGAATATCATTTAAGAAAATGAAGCAATTAATGAGCTAAGGAGAAAAGAAGAGAATTGTGAAAATTTTATTAGTATATGAGACATATCATATGAATATCATTAATGAAAATGAAGCAATTAAAGAGCTAAGGGAAAAAGAAGAGATTTATGATACTTAGTCAGTATATATATGAGATATACCATGTGAAAAATATTGAAGAAAAGGAAGCAATAAATGAGCTAAGAGAAAAAGAAGAGAATTGTGATACTTTATCAGTACACGAAACATACCACATGAATATCATTGAAGGAAGCAATTAACGAGCAAAGGGAACAAGAAGAGAATTGACATTATACATAATTAGAGCTTGTTTGGTTGGAAATAATTTATTTCGGAATTAAATTTTTTTAGATTGGCTATCCCATTTTGAATTTGGGATTAAAATAAACTATAATTTCGGAATAAGTTATCCTACAATTTTATTACGATCAAACATGAGATAAATACTTATCGTAAAATTAATCTAAAATTAATTATTTCTTATCTCTCTTACCAAACGAACCTTTAGTTTGGCTCGTTGTCCAATTTGTTGAATTAAAACTCATTTCAAAGACTATAGATAATTAGTTTAACCCATACGGGTAGTTTGAGAACATTTCCTAAAGTGACTTTCACAAAAATGCTCCCGCGGAGCAAATTATTTTACCTATTGCTTTCTCATGTTTTACAATTTATAACAGTAAAAAGGAGATACAAAACATATATATTGAAGTCAATCATGTGCTAATAGTTAGTCTAACTAACATATTCTCGTTGTTATTGTTATTATCAGCAGAGGTTGGGGAAAGCTTAAAGCATATAAATAATTTATTCTGAATTGATTTTTTTTTTTTAATTCTTTAACTTCCTATTAAACTAAGTATGAACATTAAAGCTAAAATATTACTCCTTCTATACATTTTTATTTGTCACAATTTGACTTGACACACATATTAAGAAAATAATTATTGATATAAATATTCCACCAAATTATCTCCTATTAAATGATGTCTTGAAAAATGATTTGAAAAAATAAGTATTTAATGTTGAGGGTAAAACATAAAATATTTTTTATTGTCTTTCCTTGATATGTCAAAAGTGACAAGGAAAAATGAAAATCTATTTTAAGAATAAGTGACATGTAAAAGTGAATGGAGGGATTATGTAGTTTCAATTTAATTTTTTTTGGTACATTTATCAATTAAAAAGTTAATTATTAATGTTAGGTTGTTTTATTTTTTTTCAAAATTTTAATGCATCCACTAGTGCATATTTGTTTTTTACCTATGACATTGTTCATTCTTGTATTTCGTTCGTGATATTTCTAGCTCCGTCACTATTCACTTGACATGTTAAAAAATATTTTTGTACATTTAATATAACTTTAAGTTAGAATCATAAAAATTAAATTTTTTTCTTAAAATTCAAAATCATAAAAAAAAATAAAAAATTCTTAAACTCGGTACCAAATCAACAAAATATAATTTTGTTCATGTTGACTCGGTCAACACCAAACATCCTAACTAGTGCATTCATAGTCGTGGCCTCATCATTTCAATAGCATCTTCCCTGTACTGCACAAATAATGGAGGAATACAAATCACTGAAAATCATTCAAAAATCCCCAAACTCTCTTGTCTATTACCTGTATCTCAACCGAGCCACACATCTCAACGCTCTCTCACGTGACTTCTTCACTGAATTCCCCAAAGCCATCTCCTCACTCGATCAAAACCCCAATGTCGCCGTCATCATCCTCGCTGGCTCCGGCAAGCACTTCTGTTCCGGCATCGACCTCCAAACCCTAGGCGATATCTTCAAAGAATCCGACTACGTCGATTGCGGCCGTAAAGTCGAGAGGCTCCGGCGGCATATCAAGTTCCTTCAGGAGGCTATTACCGCCTTAGAGTGTTGCCGTAAACCCGTGATTGCCGCTGTCCATGGCGCATGTATCGGTGGTGCGATTGATATAATTACTGCCTGTGATATTAGGTATTGTTCTTCTGATGCTTTTTTCTCAGTGAAAGAGGTGGATTTAGCTATTACGGCTGATCTTGGGACACTTCAGAGGCTTCCCAGTATTGTTGGGTTTGGAAATGCCATGGAGTTGGCTTTAACTGGTCGGAGGTTTACAGGTTCCGAAGCTAAAGATTTGGGCTTAGTGTCTAAGCTTTTTACTTCTAAAGAAGCTTTGGAGGAAGGTGTCAAAGTTGTTGCTGAGGGTAAGTGTGTCATCTGCATTCATTTTTTTCTCTTAGTAAAGTTTCATTCTTTTTATTTACCACTTCACTTCTATATTCCTCGACAAAAAATGTTCTTGTTCTACGTTGATGGTTACTCCCTCAGTTTTAATATGTTTTGAAGAAGTTAATTTTTTTAAATCTTGTGGTTTTAAACTAAAGATGGGTTGAAGGTACCATAATATTCTTTAATTTTATTGTCTAACATGTTATATGGAAAGTTGAAATGAAAAAGATTATTTTTGAATAGACTAAAAAGGTGAGTTAGATAAACAAATTGAAACATAGGGATCATTATAGAAGACTGTACATTAAGCAAGTTCGGGTAAAGTAGTGTGCCAAGAATCAGCTTAGAATTTGAAATGCACATCATGATATCCTGTGAAAAGCTAAGTTTTGAAAGGATATTAAGATATAGTGAAAATCACAGAAAACATTTTTCTTGGGAAAGGTAACAGATAGTATATATAATAAGAGCACTGAGTGAGGTAGTACAGCCATATTTACAGAGAAACGAAGAACCCTTGCAAAATAAGATTTACAGAGAACCTATCAGATCTATCAGGGAATTTGTCTCCTCTACTCTCCAAAAGTAAAACATCAAAATACAGTTCATCTTAATTTCTGTGTTGAGGTCTGCTTGCCTTAAAAAATTCTTGCCGTCCTCTCTTTCCAGACTGACCACTATATATGGCATGCTGACACCATTTTCCACCACCCCTTCAGCTTCACTATTGCCCCATTGTAGTTCCATGAATGTAACAACTCAGCAATAGTCACTGGCATAACCCAACTAAAGTCCACCATGCTTATGAGCAGCTGCCACAGTTGAGCAGTAATTGGACAGCGAAGGAACAAATGGATATTTGATTCCACATTTGAAGCACACAAAGAGCATAGTTGAAACCCCTTTTTAAAAGATTTTCTTGAGTTAGGTGTGCTTGTCTTGCCAATAACCAAGTGAAACAGACCAATTTGAAAGGAGCCTTGGATTTCCAAATTGACCTTCATGGTCAGTTCCCTATCTCCTAGCCAGTATTAGAGAGGGAGAAGTAAGCTGATTTGTAGTTTGCCAAATATCGTGACTAGTTCATTCATAGAGATAGAGTGGTAGCTTCATCGTTTTAATTTCATCTTCCCTGTACTGCACAATTAATGGAGGAATACAAATCACTGAAAATCATTCAAAAATCCCCAAATTCTCTGGTTTATTACTTGTACCTCAACCGATCCAGACGCTTCAACGCTCTCTCACATGACTTCTTCACTGAATTCCCCAAAGCCATCTCCTCACTCGATCAAAACCCCAATGTCGCCGTCATCATTCTTGCTGGTTCCGGCAAGCACTTCTGTTCCAGCGTCAACTTCCAAACCCTAGCCGATGTCTTCAAAGAAACCCATGCCGCCGATTGCGCCCGCAACGTCAAGAGGCTCCAGCGGCATATCAAGTTCATGCAGGAGGCTATTACTGCCCTAGAGTGTTGCCGTAAACCCGTGATTGCCGCTGTCCATGGCGCATGTATCGGTGGGGCGATTGATCTAATTACTGCCTGTGATATTAGGTATTGTTCTTCTGATGCTTTTTTCTCCATCAAAGAGGTGGATTTAGCTATGACGGCTGATCTCGGGATACTTCAGAGGCTACCCAGTATTGTTGGTTCTGGAAATGCCATGGAGTTGGCTTTAACTGGTCGGAGGTTTACAGGTTCTGAAGCTAAAGATTTGTGCTTGGTGTCTAAGGTTTTTACTTCTAAAGAAGCTTTGGAGGAAGGTGTCAAAGTTGTTGCTGATGGTAAGGGTGTCGTCTGCTTACCTTTTTTTCCTCTAGAAATGTTTCATTTTTTTTATTTACCTCTTCATTTCACTTCTCATTCCTTTAAAGGAATCCTTTCCTGGCCTATTCACTATATGCAACAATCCGGGCTACCGTCAATGAATCCTGAACTACACAGGGTTGGAATCCATCCTTTAGGAGATTATTGAATGGCTAGGAGGTGGATAGAGGGGCCAACTGTAAAAAGAAATAGAGAAGTTCACAGGCACCACCTCTGATCCTGACTGTCTGAGGTGGAAACACATTAAGGATGGGATTTTCTCTGTAAATTGGACATATTAGACAATGAACAATACAATAGAAACCAACAATGCTTATAAGAAGTATATGAAAAAACTTAGTACCAACTAATGTAAAATGTTTTACATGGTCTGTTGCTCGAAGGGATTGTTTGACACATGAAGTATTGAAGTGGAAGGGATTAATTATAGTATCCAGATGCCAACTATGTGGGGCTAGAACAAAAAGGACCAATAACCATCTATTTTTGCACTACAGTTTTACACTTAGATATGGATCATTTTCCTTAGTCTCACAGATACAAAGTGGACCATGCCTAAGCATACTGCAAATTTGTTGAGCTATTGGATCAAAAAAGGAGGAAGCAAGAGTCAAAAGATATAGTGGAGGCTTATCTCTCATTCCATCTAGTTGACTGTCTGGAGAGAGGAATAGTAGAAGTTTTGAAATAGGTCCAATTCAATTCAGAAAGTGGAATTGTATTGTATCTTTTTATTTTTGGTATAAAGAGAAAGGTTTAGATGAAACAAAACAGCTTGTAGCCTTTTTAGGATCCTTGTAAATTTTCCTTTCTGTGTTTTCTCTTTCTTTTCTCTTTTGGAAGTTCTCCCATATATCCATTATTCCGAAAAAGACACCATTACTAGTTTCAAAAAAATAAATAAATTTAGTGAAGATTTCCTTGAGAGGGTCATGTTCCAATCAATTATCACACTCCAGAATAAAGTCTTTCTTCCATTTCCTACTTTTATTAAAGAGTTGGCATGTAAGTAGTTCCAATGGATTCTAGTAGCTTTCCAGACCCCAACTCGAAAATTACAGGATACTTGGTAGACTATATACAATTCAACATCTTGGCATCCTCAGTATTAGCTAATATGTTATTTTATTTTACTTCTGAATAGTGGTTGTGTGTTAATTGATGACTAGTGAACATGAACTTTGGGTTATCAGCTATTGGGCACCGACACTTGAATCCATCCATAATTTCATTACACCTGGGATTTACTTACCAGTTGTCAAAAAAAAATAAAAATCAGTACACCTGAGGTTTTTCAAGGCCATGGTGGGAATTGTACTTTGCCCATCTTATTGCGTTCATGCAGTAATGGTGCTAAATCTCACTTGGCATTCACATTCCTTCCATAGCTTCATTTATAGGCTTTTCTTTGTCCTCCATGCTTTAGAGGACCCTGTTGGATGATGGTGCAAAGCAATAAAGCAAAAAGTATTGCTCATCTGAAGTTCTTTACTCTTTATTTTGGCGTTAAGAAGGGCATAATTGCTTTCCCAATCATTGATAAACTTAGTGACTTGACCATGAATTGGTAATTCTCGACTCTTCAACATTCAAATATTATATGAGCAAGAATGCATAACTGGCTTTTATTAGTTTCCCCTACTATATATTGGCATGATATATACGAGCTGCTGACCTGGGACTTTGGAGCAAATGTTAATCTAATAAGTTTTCCAGCTGATGTTGGAATATTTCCTTCCATTTATTGAAGCATTTTGTTTTTTTTTTTTACCTTTTATTAGCTTTATTTAGGCATGGACTTGTAGTCACTGGTAGGACTTCAATAAAACATCTCTTAATTCAGACTTCTTTTGCCACTTTTCTTCTTGTACTTTTGTCTTTGACTTACATAGTATAACATACATCTCTTACGTTTGAGGGGTTAAAAGTAGATTTCACTTGCAGTTCTTTTCCTGCAAATTTGAATGGTTTAGATCTGTATGATCAGAATTTTGAATGTTTGAAGAGAGAGACGGGTAAACTGCAGTCGTTTTCTTCATCAAAATTAATAAATAAGTGCAAATTTTTCCATTTCTCTTTATCTGTGGAGCAAATTGCACTTCATTTTACTAGTATCTCTGAGCATCTTGCACATACTTGCTCCTCACTAGGACATCACGTTACAATCTGTATTGCTCTCATACACGTGTGTGGGTACCTGATAAAGTTGCATCTAGAATCAGATACTTCATCACATAAAATTTTGTATTCAGGGTTGTGGATTGAGTGTGGATACGAATGCTAGAGTGCGGCCAATAGATGTATATGTTGACGTATATGAGTATATATTTCGATTAGTTAAAGTTATTGAACTTAAACTAATAAAATTTAATTTTTAATGTTTTATTCATAAGATATATATAAATCTGTATATGTTGCGACACAAATCCAAAAAATCAAACCAAATATTGAGTCAATCTAATACGCTTGCTCATAGACCTATAGTATAACGGAGGGCAATATTAAACCTTTTTAATTGTAGGGGCAAATTTGATTCTTTTCTCTAGTTTTAACTAATGTAGCACAATGGAAGTTGGGTGTTTTGCTCCTTTTCAGAGGGAACCTTATTTTGAATAACTTTGAGGCAAACCTCATCTATATCCATGGCTTATTATTCATGATAAGTTTGACTTGAATTCACATCAAAAGAGCAAAAAAAGTATGTATACATGCTGATAATTTAGGTCATATGAAACTATGTACTCCCTCCATTCCAACTTATATGACCATATCTCCTTTTTCGTCCATCTAAAAAAATGACCCTTAATTTGGAAGCTAATTTTACCCGTAATGACAAACTTTTACCGCCACACAAATGTGATGACATTTTTAAGATTACCACAACAACAAACTCGATCTAATCCCTCAAGGGAGGTCCACAAGTGAGGTATGAGGATGATAGAGTGTATGTAGATGTTATCCTTGTTTCTGATAGACCCTCAGCTTAAAATAAAGCATATCCAAGCAGTTAGGAAAAGGAAATGTAGAAATGAAGTAGTAGCAACAACGAAATAATATGAAATGAAAACTAGTTCACAAAATAAGAGGAAAGAACAATAATGACAATAAAATAATATGATTATTGATGTGATAACTAAAACTGAAGAACAAGAAATTACGAGGATAGTGCTAATACCACTAGTAAGAAAGAAGGTCTAAGTATGACCACTAAGCCTATTCCGCAGGAAAGTGAGAGAATGCTCAACTGCCAACTAACCTTTTACCCTAACCTTCTATCTAAGATCATGTCTTCGGTAAGCTCGAGATGTGTCATATCCTGTCTAATAACCTCCCCCAAATATTTCTGTTGTATGCCTCTACCTCTCATGATGCCCACTATCTATGTTGCTTGGACTCTTCAATAATGTCAAGGGGTGCGTGTTGGATTCGCCAAAAGTAGTGTAATTTTGGAGAATCCAACACGGGTGCGGCATCGAAAGTGAACAGTCCGCGCAACTTAGCCCACTGTTGCCAACCTTTCACACCTCCTCAGTAGGGCATATCTATACTTCTCCTCTTTGCATGCCCAAACCATCTCTACCTCACTTCCCCAACTTGTCCACCATGGAAGGCATTACCAACCTTGTCCCGAATATCTTCATTCCTTGTTTGTCTTTCCTAGTATGCCCATACATCTACCTTAGCATCCTCATCTCCGCAACCTTCATCTGCTGAACATGTGAGTTTTTGACTGGCCAACACTCCATCCCATACAACATAGCTGGTCTAACCACCACTCTGTAACTTACCTTTAGTCTTGGCAGTATCTTTTATCACACAAGCCTTCATAGGTGAGCCTCCATTTTGCCATCCCGTACCAATACAATATGTGATGTCATCATCGATCTCCTTACTACCTTGTATTAAAGACCCTAGATACTTGAAAAATTCTCTCTTGGGGATGACCTAAGCATCAAGCCTCACTTCCACCTCGACCTCATGTGCAACATCACTAAACTTACACTCCACGTATATAGTCTTGGTCTTGCTTAGGTTGAACCCTTTAGTCTCCAGAGTTTTGTCTCCAAACCACCAGCCTAGCTCTAACTCCACTACAAGTTTCGTCAATCAGAACTATATCATCTACGAATAACGTACACCACGGCACCTCACCTTGGATATGTTGCATCAGTACATCCATAACGAAAGCGAAAAGGAATAGGCTTAGAGTCGATCCCTGGTGTAGCCCTTTCATGATTGGAAAGTGCTCCGAGTTTTCTCCCATTGTATGCACCTTAATCTTAGTTCCATCGTACATATCCTCAATCGCCCTAGTGTAAGCCGCAAGTACACATCTAGCCTTCAAACATCTCCGGAAAGCCTCCCTTAGGACTTGGACATAAGCTTTCTCTAGGTCAATGAATACCATATGTAAACCCTTCTTCCTATCCTTATATTGCCCCACCGGTCTCCTCACAAGGTGGATGACATTTGTGATAGAACACCCCAGCATGAATCTGAACTGGTTCTCAGTAATATATATACCCTTCCTCACTCTCATCTTCCCCACCTTTTCCCACACTTTCATAGTGTGTCTCAACAACTTGATACCCCTATAGTTGTTGCAGTTCTGAATCTCACTTTTGTTTTTTAACAACGGAATCATCGTACTCTACCTTCATTTTTTGGGCATCTTTGTTGTCCTATTAATGACACTAGACAACCGAGTCAGCAACTCCTAGCCTGCCCTGCCTATACTCTTCCAAAACTCCACAAGAATCTCGTCTGGCCCAGTTGCTCTTCCTCTGTTCTTCTCACACATAACACCCTTAAGCTCGTCAACCTTTATAGACCTGCAATACCCAAAAACCTTGTGTCTCTTGGGGTGCTCCAACTATCCCAACACAGTGTCCCTATCCCTCTTTCGTTCAAGAGCTTGTAAAAGTATGTCTGCTACCTCCATCTAATGAGTGCCTCCTCCACCAATTGTCTGCCTCCCTCGTCTTTGATGCACTTCACTTGGTCGAGTCTCGGGCCTCTCTCTCTCTTGGCTTGACTAACCTGTAAAACTTTTTATCCCCGTCCTTGCTCCCTAGCTCCTCATACAAGCGTTTGAAAGCTGCTGTTTCAGTCTCCATAACCGCGTTGTTTAAGACCACAAGTTTCAAAAGCCTTATTGCCACACAATTCTTATGACATGTTCAAGGCCAGTAGTTTTGAAAGTCTTCCGTTTGTTTAAGTCGTGTCCAGTCAAGTAGGTGCACATTAATTGAAACACACTAAATAATTGTTATTCTGACTAGGCTCACTTTGGAGCAGTTTTAGCTACGCCTTAACTTCATCATCCCCCTCTTTCAACGGGAACATTTTACAAGTTTGAGTGCAACTTGACAAATCTTATATAATATTGGACTGGAATGGACCAACATGGTTAGTATTGATTCATATATCTATACTCCGGCATAGTTGGTATTGATGCATAGTTTGGGAAATATTGAGTAAAACTTATGATTCACTTTCTTTAATTATTTCATGCTTGAGAGATGAAAGTCAATACAGAGGAGAGTGTCCCAGAGTCGAACATTGAAAAAGGATGTGGGTATTTGTTCCCTTATCAAGAAAAAAAGGGATGTGGGTATGGCTCGATCCAACATGTGTCATTACTTTATTTAACCAGTGTCAACACAATAAGTTTGACTTCTGAATGATCCTTTCTTTTATTATGCTAGTTTATCTTTTGCCCAAGTAAGGAGTTTGAAACTAGCTTTTGGATCCACAATGGTTTTTGTGAGATAAAAACGTAAAACACGGGGAGGCAAAAATGCACGATGTCCTCTTTATGCAAGAAATTTTTTGAAATGGAGATTTGAAGATTAAATATGTTGAAGACAAACAAACTAGAGGTGGCTGTTCAGATCTTCTATCCTACCCTCTTTCCTTCTGCACGTGCAGTATTAACGTTGGTCCATTATGGTACTCCGTGTCTGTTAATTCATGCCTTTCTCAAATCTTATGTAGCCATGTAGGCGGTCATCAGTTAAAAATGACTAAAGGCTGGAATTACACTTCCTTCTTTCCCTTGAATGGAAGGTGTAGGACCCTTATCTTCCATGGTTTTGTGACTGAATTTTGAACTGGTGTCATTAACATATATCTTTTCAAACCTGATTTTGTTCCTTGTTGAGCAAATGTATGTACCATCTATATCTCACTCTAGATTCTTTTTCCACTTATTGCTTCTAGCACGAGGTTTTTGGTTACTTAGCAGGCCTTTTACTAGCTTGCTTCTTGTTCCTCTTCAGTTCTCTCTTGCATTAGTGAATAAGCTCATCATTTAGCAAGCTAGTTGTTGCATTCTTGAGGTTTTTGGTAACTGCAGGCCTTTTAATAGCTTGCTTCTTGTTCCTCCTCAGTCTCTCTTGCATTAGGGAATAAGTTCATCTTTGAGCAAAGCTTATTTGTTGCATTCTTGAATATTGGTATTTTATGTAATTACTTTGACCTGGCTATTAAGTTGTTGATATTTTTTCATTAAAATGCAGAAATAGCTACAAAGTCTCCACTTGCTGTTATTGGAACAAAAGCTGTGTTGCTGAGAAGTAGGGATTTGACAGTGGAACAAGGCCTGGATTATGTTGCCACATGGAATTCTGGTACCCTGTTATCAGATGACTTAAAAGAAGCAATTTCAGCACATAGCCAAAAGAGGAAGCCTAAATTTGCCAAACTGTAGTTTGGTAAATGATGGAATTTGAAATGGTGCGCGAATAAGACCATCTGTTGGTCGAGTGACGAGACTGAGAAGACACGGAATGATGCATAAGTGTCTGTCTGGCTTTATGAAAAGCTTTACGTAGAACCTCTATTATGCGCAAGGTCGACTTGGATATTTCTGTCTTGTGAAATTGTACTAGTTGGTTAGTCTGAGAAATGATATCATATGGAAAAATCACCCACGTGTTTTTACATGCTGCCTACATCATACTAATGTTGCAGCATATGTATTGTCATTATATGACTTAATTTCAAATTAAACTTTTGTAAACTGACATCTCAACAACACCAATGTCCAGCGTTAAATAACGATCAAATGCACTTGCCTAGTGTGGCAAGAAGTCTTATGTGGTTTACAAGAGAATTGTCCTTTCTTCTTTTGTCAATGCTATTAACATTTGGTCCGTCTATGGATTATGCTTGTTTTCTAATAAAAAGTTATGTGATTGTTGTTTCCAGATATACATCACAAATTCACAATACTGTGGAATCTTTCCGGTGAAATCGCGGTCTCTCTAGCCATCTAAACTAGACTTTAAAAACCAAAGTATTTGCTCCAAAACAGCAAAACAACAGAGCAATGAGGTTGCGTTTTAACTATGTGTTACTTCATTTGATACTGTCATAAGAAAGCAAAACATGACAAGACAGGAAACCACCCATACAGATTTGGCGCAAAGGTGAGTCTCATCTTGGTAATAAAAAATATTCTTTTTTTTTGGAATATTTTTTTATTTTATTTGAAAGTTAATGTTTGGCCATGAATATTTCAAATCAAATTTGAAGTCGTATTTAATTTTGGAAACAACTCATATCTTGTTTTACAATTCACTTTTAACGGTTGAAGTTGTTATTTTTTTTTTTATAAAACAAACTCCCATCATTTATATCAGTCACCAACCGACGATGAGAATTAACAATGTCGCTTAGTCTTCTCGGTAGAGCTGTCAAAATGGGCTGGCCCAGCCCAATCCAATCCTAATGGGCTAGAGAGTTAAATGGGTTGGGACGGGTTGACCCTTTTAATTAAAGGGCCTATAAAATAGCAGCCCAATCCAACCCTAAGTGGGTCACGGGTTGGGACGGGTTGTCCCTTCAACCAAAAAATGAACAATATTACTCTCTTAGAAAGAGTATCTAAGAATATCGAACGTTGACGTCTATAAGCACGACATCAATACATACAAATTTTCATTTATGAATCACACACTTCAGTGAATACTTACAAAAATACGTTTATGAATCACACACTTCGATGAATACTTACAAAAATACATAATAGTCAACGTAAGATTTAGCGGAAAAATGTTGATCATTCCACCATTCCTCCCACAAAAAACTAGCTAGTTTAAAAGACTTGATTTTTTATTTTTTAAAATATTTATTGATAAAAACTTAACAAATAAAACACTACTAAAAATATGTGTAAATTTCATATATGACATATATTATAGTACTATTTTCAAGCTATAGCAGTAGATATAAACTTTCAAGCTATAGCATTAAAAATTTCAGGTTATAACAAATTTACAAAAAAAAAATGTTTTTATTAATTGGAAAAAACTTTTTTAAAAAAAGATAAACGAAAATTAAAAAAAAAAACGGAATTAGAAATAATAAAGAAAAAAACTGAAAAAATGGAAATGGATGTATTAATTAAATTTGAATTGATTGATGATAATTATTAATTAGCATAAATTTAGGAGATTCAAACTAATTAGAAATATTTGTTTTCCTTAATTCACTCTAATCTGTTAAAATTAATTAAAAAGTCTTATTTTATCCATTTTCAAAAAAACAAAATAAAATCAGATGTAATTGATGTTGTTGCAACATTTAATGATCTCTGTTTTAAATTGTAAGATTTGTTTATTCCAGTATTTATACAAATTGTATACAACTTCATACATCTTTAAAAATACTTAATCCACGTTTGTTAAGACAATATAATTTACAATTAGGTTGTAAATTGTCTAGGATGAAAAAAATGTAAAACAAAAATGTAATTGAGGTTGTTACAAAATACAATTATCACTATTTTACATTGGCATAATCGTTTATACAAGGTATTTATACATGTTGGATACCAACTTCATTTATTTTTTATTTTTTTATTTTTTTGTGTTAGAATATGAATTTGGATGCCAAAGGTGTACATTTTGGATACCAATTATAAGTCAGAGTTAGTTCATGAACTCTAAATTAGTAGTATGATTTCTTTCTAGTTAATAAGACATTGTAAAATCATAAACTCTAAATGTTGAATCCAATTTGTATGCATTTTGTATATAACTGTTATCCCGAGAATTATTATAGTCAATGTGTAATTTATCTTTAGAATGGTGTATCCATTTGGAATGCAGTCTGTATATAACTAGTATCCTGCGATTACAATAGTCAATCTGTAATTCATATGTAATTGATATCTTTTTGAAATAAAACAGTGGATATTATATATATCAAATACTTAAAGCTGTAACAAACACAAAAATATCGTCCAAAAGTAAAAAAAAAAAAAACTTGTAATTCTAAAAAGTCTAAGGTGAACTATCTCAAATTTGATCTCCGTGGTCTTGGTGTGGGATAATTGCTGGTATTCGGAGCATGTTCTTTTGCTATGCGGGGTCCATCAAATTTGCTAGCAACAGTGCCATTTACTTCACTCTCACTGGTCGCGCCATCATCATTCTTTGTTTTTCCATAATGCCATATGATTGTGGCATACCTTTGACGATGGTACTTTGCATCGATATCAACAGAACGCTTATTAAAAACTCCATTACTGATGTATTCAACAAATAGACACGTGTACAAACTACAATCACTGAATTTTTTTTGAAAGAAAAATCATTTTATACCGCTTTCATACCAATGTTAAAAATGTAAATACATTAATGAAGAAATTGAAAAAGAAACCTTCCTATTAGAAAAAATCCCAATTTCATATCAATATTAGTCATAATTCATACAAAACAGAGTAATGTAACAATTCATACCATTTGCATACCAATTTACAACTCATACCATTGGGCTACTGATATCAAACCAATTGCATACCATTGTCAAAACACAATTCATACCATTTGCATACCAATATTATATCACATTTCATATAATATCCCAAAATCATATATTAAAGTCAGATTCATATAAATATTATTCACATTTCGTACAAGTTTCACCCAAACAAAAGTTTCGAAACAACAATAAGCATAATGTGATATTTTTAGCAAAAAAATCACTAATTTGAATAATGTGAAAATAAATTAAATATAATACTTACCCTAATAACTTTTTTTGCCTTTTTTGGATATTCGAATTTCTGATTCCTTCTTTTTTGTTGTTCTTCTTGTTGATGGTTTTGAAGATTGAGCAATTTCTACATTTGTTGCTTTTTTTCTTTTTTATTTCACTAACAAAATCAGAATTCGAATCAAAAGGGGTTTCTACAATTTTCCCTTTCCTCTTCTTTCCCTTTTGATTTGCCGGACTCACCATTTTCTTTGCTTCGTTTTTTTTCTCCTTTTGATCCTTCGACTGAGAGGAACCACAATTTGCAGGAATTTCAACATTCTTCGTGTGTAGATCTCATCCCACCATTAAATCATATAAATGTGGGAGTTCTACTGATTTTCTTTTTGAATGAAAAAGACGAACGTTGAAGATGGTGAGAGAGAAAAAGTTAGTTCTTTGTAAAAGACAAACGTGGGGGTGGGGGTGTGGGATTTACGTGTGGGTAAAAGAGGAAGGTGGGGGTTGCTATGTGAAATCTAGAAAAAAAATCCCTAAAATGGTGTAAGAGATAATGACAATTGATTCTCTAATATTAATGTTATCCCTAAAATGGTGGAAGAGATAATGACAATTGATTCTCTAATATTAATGTTATTTCTCTTACTTATTAATTATAATGTAATTATAAAAATAATAACTAATTAATTAAATTATAAATTAAAACTAATCTGTTAATATTTGTAATTAAACTGTTATAAGTAGTAATATAAAAAAAGTACATCTAAAGGCTGTAATATTAAGCCTTAAATAGATATATGAGGTGATTTTTCCTAAAAGTATATATAAAAAATATTTTTAAATATTCATAGCCCACGGGCTGGCCTCTGAGGCTTGCAGATTGAGCTTACGAGGCTAGCTGACCAAATGAGGCTGGGCTAAAAAGCCTCGTTCCTAAATGGGCCAAAAAAATTAGGCCCAACCTCACTTAATTCAAGGGTTGGGTTGGGTTGGGCCGGTCTAGCGGGCTAAGCCTATTTTGATAGCTCTACTTCTCGGGTAGTTGATCAGAAAATACATGTTCGACGTGAAGAGATTCTTCACACACCATGAGAGAAATATCATAAGAATAGCTAGTTACAAGTGTTGATATTTTGTATTACTTTGTAAAAGTATTTAAAAATTGACTGGCTGTAGTACTTTTATATCAGTTACCAACTAGCAACGAGAATTAACAATGTCTTTTTGTCTTCTTGGCCCTACCGTTCTGCAAGTTTAACCTAAAGGTGTGTTTAGAGTGGAAAAAATAATTAAAAGGTGTACTTAGATTGGAAAAAATTATGTCACAAAGTTTTGGGGAGGCGTTTGCTTGCATCAAATTGTTTACGCTAGAAGCAGTACATTTAATTTATATGAGGTCAAAAGTATGCGTCTTAATTTAACCTTTTGTTTTTAGCCTGTTTACTAAGGTTCAAATATAGATTGAACAAGTAAGAAAGCTAGGATCCAAAAAAAAAAGAGTAAGAAAGCTAGGAAATAATAAGTAATTAGATTTGGTAATTAATTATGAGATGTTATGTGAGATAAATACAGAGCAAGAGTACAAATTTGAATGTTTTGGTGCGTAAAATGTATCTCTGAGAACGACTAGAAGCTGATGAGAAACAGATAAAGTAAAGACAAGGGGAGATTAATGCAGAAGAAAACATAGAGTTGCCGCTATATTGCTAGAAATCAGAATATATACCTAGCTAGCTACAAATTATTTATAGTTTAGACACTCCATTTGACTCCTATAGAACCGAATCCAACGATGGGAGGCCATGTGGAGATGCTATTAGTAGTGATGAAAACTAGTATTCCTATATCGTGTTTAGGTCTGTACATGCTCGTCCACACACCTAAACCTTTTGACTCCTTGTCCCCCATTTTCTATTTGTCCACGTCATCATTTGCCTCGTCCTTAATATCTTGTTTCCTACTTCTTGCTCGAGGCCTTGTTCAAGATCATCCATCTCCTCGGTTCTCTCATGCTTTCTTATCCGAATGACACGTGTACAACTCCAAATTTACCCTATACAGATAG